GTCCGTCACCAAAAGCCCTCGTGTAGCTGAACAGTGCGACGTTAATATTCACTCACTCACTCAATACTGATTTCGATAAAGGTGAAGGATTGAGATTAGCAATAAAACCAGAGCTTAATTTGAATTTTGTTTCGGGTAGAGCACTGAGGTGGCTAGATATAATTTAAACATTGATGCGATGTTTTCACGATTCGTAAATCTACCGACGTTCACGTAGCATACTTAAACTATCACAAGCCTCTTGTCAAAGTGATTAATAATGACGAGAGCATTAATGTAATTAATACTCAAAATGATATCAATAGTGAATTAAATCAACCTTATTAGCAATGTACTTATGTACTATGAGTAACATAATTGATGTATATTATATATATATATATATATTACTTAACCGAATCAATATATGAAAAATGTGAATAGAATAGAGAAAATACATGCATGGTTTCAATATTATATGAGATGCATTTATTTATCCTGTTTGCCTACTATATAATCAAAGACAACTGTACTTAAGGAATAAACTCTATAAGATATATATACATCGGGGCCGACACACAGTTTTCTTTTTCTTTCTTCTTCAATGAAAAGGGGTTTTGTTTCGGTCCTAGAAGAGCCCACACCCTTGGCGCAAATTATTTTGGTTGGCGATAATTGCGCCATCTTGGTAACCCTACTTTGATACACTAGATAGGGTAACCCTAACTATTTCAGGAATCTTCATATTTTGTCGGCGGGCATTTCGAATTTCATTTTGTTGTTGGGCTCCGAGATGGAAGTATAGCTGCGTGTGTGAGGGAAAATACTTTAGAATTTTTTACTTTGTTGAATGTGAAAGGTAAGAAAGAATTGATTGAATGGTGTATGGAGGAAGGATTGATTGCTTCGAGTTAAGAATGCCCTAAATAAAACGCTTTCTTCGCAGTATAAATATGGCGGCGCTCACACGATCATTCGCTTAGCGATGAGACCTTCAAGGCTTTTTTAAAATCTGTTGTTACGCTGTACCCTCCACTAGGAAAAGATCAGCAGTAAGAAAGTAAGTGCTGTTCTTATATTTTTTATCTTAAATGTTTAATTTCTGTATTGTTTACACATATTTTCATTACGCATCCACCTTATCCCACTATATTCACTTGCCGCCATTGTCGGTTTCGCTTGGCGCCATCTTGTTCTGGATTGGCGCTTTTTCGGTTTGTCGCCAAGGGTGTGGGCTCTCCTAGGATTTTACCGGGTTTTTTTTAAGAGATATTTAAATTATACACATACAGTCAAATCTCCATATAACGTACCTGTATATTGAGAATTTTTCTATATGGCGAACTTTTTCCTGGAACCAGGAACATTTCACGATTTTCATCGTAAGATAACCCCCCAATAGCGAAGTGCATTTTCTTTGTAACGAACTTTTTTTTTCTTGGGATTCAATTTTTTTTCTCCCTATTTTTGAAGTATTTCTGGACATTTCAAGTTATTCTATCTTTTAACACATTATGGCTCATCTTCCTTTTGACCCTCTCACACATTCATTACAACCACGATGACATTTTATCGTTAATCATTTTTTTCTTATATTAAGAATTATTTTTTACTTTTTAGTTCGATTAACTATAAAAGCATATTTTTGGGGTTTTTAACTATAATTTATTTTTCACATTTTAGTTCGATCTACAAAAAACGTGTTTTTTTAATAGATTTTCAAGCTATCATTTATTAAACTTTAGGGTTGTAATCTTTAGATACCAAATCTGGAAATGGGAAATCACTAATCCTGATCAGAACAATGGAACAAAATTACTAAATTATTGTATTGTCTTCCATCCTTGACAAGTGTGTAAAATTTCGAATTAATCTGACCTTTTATAGTGGGTAAAAATAGAGTTCAAAGATTCTGTTACATACAGTGAAGTTTTTAAAATCGGGTTAAAAAGAAAAATATCATGACTAAAAATTTTAAGCGAACTGTCACATTAAGAGGAAAATCTTGTAGAAGATTTAAAGATAATTTTCTAAAAAGAATTTTGTATCGTATGAAAGTTTAATTTGCATAAATCATAGAGCAGGGATGGCGAATCATTGGCACGCGTGCCATTGATGGCACGCAGCACAGTATTTTGGGCACGCCACCTATCAACCACGATTGATTCTTCTATAAAAGAATTTTCAGGGAGATTTTCTCAGTCCAAAGAATTATCGGAAACGCTCCAGTTTTTATTATGTACCCTGATGTGATATCATTTGATAAATTGAACTTGCCCCAATTCGACTGGATGGAAATTGAAGAATTTTTGAAATGCAACTTATTGATTTCTTGTCTATTCAATATGGATTCAAAAATTTATTGAAACAAGGAAAAACATTGATTGAAACAGAAAGATTAGCACAAGCAATAAAAGTAAAAATGCCAGTAACGAAATTTTGGAAACCTTAAATTCGATTCTAGATGCGTTTAACTGTTTGAATAATAAGGCTCATGCTATTGTAACCATATTTTCATCGGCCTATGCCTACGAGTCATTATTTTCAGAGATGAATAACATTAAAGACGCGCTTAAAAATCATTTGGCAGATGATTCCAATTCAGCATGTATTCTGCTAAAAGAGTAACATCTTACCCAATCCTAATACTATTTATTTATCATCTTATCTGCAACAGCAGAAATCGCCCTTATGTTACTTCATATAATTTGAATTTCACGCTTACAAAACATTTAGCACTATAAAATACAAAATGTATTTTTCTGTAGTAAACAGTTTTGTGTTGTTAGTATTTTTTATTTTCTAATAAACACAAGTTAAAATTATTTGACGGCACGTCTATACCTCATCAAGTTCTTCTTTAGAAAAAAATGGCACGTTAACCCCCATAAAGGTTCGCCACCCCTGTCATAGAGTATTTTTTTTTCAAAAATAACTCCCAGCTGTATTTTTTTTAAAATTGATTTCATACCATTTTATTTTTACATCTGTAAGAAAACACAGGAAAATATCTTAAAATGTTTTGATGTAATGTGCAACAAAATCAAACACATTTAATCACTTCTAACTATTTGATTATTCGTTATTTTTCCACATTCTTTACTTTGCTTCCAGTGGATTTCGAGTAAAGTACTTAAAAATTATCATTAGAACCAAATTATTACATAATTAAATCTAAAATAAAAAAAGAATTGAAAAATTATAAGATTTTTATTTATTTATTTAATGAATGCTCACATAGTTATAAGATGTGAAAAAAATATACTAGCACATGTGTGTGCGTGTTCATTCCCCTAAAAATATTAAAACTATAATTCAATCTTTGCTGTGATTCAAAAATTCAAATAAATGAAAAAGTATTTATTATTTAAATATACAAATGAACAATTCAATACAAGAATGTAAAAATTTATAAATAAATTAATGAAAATATACAAAAAATGAACAAATTATAACAAATATATAAAAAATTTTCACTCTTTATCAGAAATTCTAAAATAATGTATATCTTCCTCCAATTCATTCATAATGTTCTTTTTAATTTTAGATTTAGAAATTTTAAACTGTTTGTAGAACTCTATTTCATAACACCATTTTTTATCAGGAATTCGAACCAGAAAACGTTCGTTTTTCTCCAGTATTTTTTCTCCTGGCAACGAAGACATCAGAGGATTAGGTGCAGCGTTCAACCAATGCGCGTACAGAAAACAACAATTTTCATTACTAACAGTGTCTTTCATTTCCATCCATCTCACTTGAAACACAGGATCTTTGTCTCTGAGATGTTTATACCTCCCAAGAGTCCAGTTTCTGTCACGTTTGTAGTAATTCTCTATACTTTGCTTTATATTAAACTTGATATTTTCCCAATGAAAACATATATCTACCAGCTCTCTGACTTTTCCATAACTCAGGGCAATGATATATATTCCAAGGGTGTCAGGGGCCTTTTCATTGACGCAAACATCTTCCAGGGATTTCCATTTCCCAAAGTAAGCATCACAAACTTCGCACGGTCCAGTCCAGTTACAGCTCTTGACCACTTCAACCACCTTCGGTGGCATGGACTTTGGTTTTCGCCAAAAGGCGTCTTTTTTGGGGTAACACCATTTCTGGAGTTCATCAGAGAACATCAGACTGTCTGTTTGCTGCAGAAGATTTAAACCTGGCCACGAGTTGAGGTACTTGGGCAACACTCCGTTGTTGTACCAATGGGCACAGAGACTTATGACGTCTTTGTCAGTCTTTTGTTTAAATGTCATCCACCTAAAAAGGACAACAGATTTCGTGATTTTGGACTTTTTGTCAGCAACTCTTTCGTAAACGCGATCTATGCAGTCGTAGGCCTGTTTTTGTATGTCGTGCTCGTCGATAATTATGTCCACCACCTCGGTGGAGTTCTTGCTTTTAAGGCCCACTATGAAAATTCCTGGCTTGGTGGGGATCTTGGGAATATTTTCTTCGTTTGATTCCACCCACTTGCCGAATCTTTTGTCGCAGAACTCGCAGGGATCTGCCCAGCCCTGGCAGGGGGCTACTAGAATATCGGTCTCTTTCTTCGATGAAAAATTGCCCGAAGGCATTTCTCCTTTCAGTTTTCCTAAAAGAATAAAAACAAATTTGTAGTAGTAACATACGTTGCCTCTAATATGATTGTAAGCAAACTCTTTATAAAGAAAAAAAGAACCGATTAACACAACTGATGATAACTGTAACGAAAGTTCAGTTATCATCAGTTGTGTCAAGTTCAGAAACCACAATTTTTTTTTCAATTCCTACTATTAGTTCACTCTCGGCCTATATATATATATATCTTGTTCAAATTTTCAATCGTTAATAAAATACTTTCTACTCACATCCATTCAAGTTCAAATACTTTTTTTTAAACTTGTAGTGGATGACACTTGACGTTAATACAGTTTTTTCAAAGATCCTCATTAATTAAATTAAAAAATGAATAAAAAGTAACAAACAAAAATAATAGTCCAACAGATTATATTAAAAGGAAAACCGTTCATTATGTCCCGCAGAGCAATGGATAGCACGTTGAACTTCTCTTTCAAAGGTCGTGGGTTAGAATCCCACCTGGGATGGCCTAATTTCTGAGCATGTTATTTCTGTTTTACTATATTATTTTATTAGAATAATTAAATTTAATTAATGAATAAATAGTACAAACAAAAAATAGTAGACCACCATACATAGGAAGGAAAATGGAAAATTGCAAGAAAAATTTCTTTCTATTTTGTCTTTTAATATTGTGATTCGGTCATATGTACATACATATTTATATTAATTGTAACTATTTAATAAAAAGTAACTAAAATAAATTTTTTCTTTGTTGACTTATGCTGACTGATGTGCCTGGGTTCGAATTCCAGAGAAGACATGGATGTTTGTAAATGTATAGTGCCTTCGCGGCAGGGGGGTACTTTAAATAGTCGTCAAGCCGCAAATTCTCTCGTGAGGTTGGTGGAAGGGGAAGAGAGGTGAGAGGCCCCTGACCACCTCCAAAGTGTTCTCCCTCAAAATTGGGGTAAAACCGAGCTAAATCGTCCTGTCACCTGTATGGTGCTTAAAGCTATGGATAACGACAGGCTTCACTTAGCCCTTTGCCATGATGAATTTCGTGGGCCTTGATCTGACCTTTGCCGATCAGGTGGCTTTAGTAACAACAACAGAAATTGACGTAAAGTTTTTTATATTATACATGTTTATTAAAAAGAAGAAAGCAATAAAATTATCTCAATTCAAGTTTAAGGTCACAAGAGACACAAAGAAGTTAAATTTTCAAAAACAATTTTTGGTTAATAATTATTATAAAAATCTCAACAAAAATCAATAAAATCAATTTTTTAGTCTGTTTTAGAAGCAAATTTCTGTTTTCGATCAATTAAATTGAAGTGTCTTTTTGCATTAATAATTTGGTGATTTTAATAGTTCTTCGTTTTCATTGAATTTAAAAAAATAATAGTAATCACAATCACAATTACAAATTTCTCAAAAGCACACTTTTAAATTCAAAATGTTTAAACGAGGTAATTTTAATTTATTTTCATAATTTAAAAAATTTTTAATTTTTTAAAATTTACAACCAAAAGAAGTATTCTGAATGTTTTTCTAAAAATGTATTGCAAAATTTAAAACGTTTTAATCTCTAGCAACGAAGAAATTTAAAATTCTATGTCTGATAATTAATTTATTTTATAAGAGAGTTTATTCTCTAAATTATTTTTATTTTAAGAATTATTTTATTTAAATAAGAATAAGAAATCAAATTTTTGAATGTTAAAGTAAAAATGAAAAACTTTTAAATAAATTTCAAAAAGAGATGAAAATTTTCAATAATACCTAGCAGCACGTTTAATCTTTTACGAAAAATGCCGTACTTTCAAAAATAAAAGTACGAATATAATGAAATTGTCAAATATCATTTAATTAGATTTATTTTAATTTATCTATAAATACAGCACCAGTAAAATTTGTTTTTTTTATGCAGAAAAAAAAGTATGTGCAGTTTGTAATATATTACAGAGTTTTCAAATAAAATCAACATAGTAGATGACAAATTTTTCTCAAAAGAAATATTTCAAAATATTTTTCATGAGAATTTTTTTTTTTCTTGCTTTCTTTTTTTTTGTACAAAATAAACTTTTATTCTTTTATTATCGCTATGAATTACTTAGCAGATTTTAGAGTAAACAATATAGATAGTAGCTTGATTTAAATTTATTGAAAGTTCATTACTTCTATATATAAAAGCGTAATAATCACTTTAAATTACTTATGATTTGGAATACGCCAATAACTTTCACTAAAATCCCATAATCACGTTAAGAGAAGGGGGAAAAAAATGGCAAAGGGAAAAATACAGGGGGAAAAGAGCAGAATTTGGAAAATTCCTATTTACACAAAAATGATTTATTTTTACTTTTAAGAGTCTCAGGAGTGTTAATTTTGTCTCGAGAGGTGAAAATACAGACAATTTTCAAAGAGGTATAATTCTTTTAAATTTGAAGTAAATAATTCGAATCTTTTCCGCATTATTTACAAAGGATTATGGTTTCAAAAAAGTACACAATGTCTGAAATATAATCATAATTCTAAAAATTATAAGCATATGAAAATAATTTTGCAATAAATATTAAGTAATTTTTGCGTTGAGCACACTATTTTCTAAAATAGTAGCCTTTGATGTAGAAAACTTTATAGAATTATAAAATGCATCATACTCTTAAACCCTACTTAATTTAAGAATAGCATAGCCTTTGTATTTCAAAATATTTGTAAAATATTGAAATTTTAAAAAAGACCTTTAAAAATGTAATTTTTTTATTTTTTAAAAAATATAATTTATTATTCTATTTATATAAAAATACTACAGAGTAATAAGAATACATTTAACTTTGTAAATCAACTTATTGCTAGTAATTAAAGCTACTATTTTAGAAAATAGCACGCGCAACTTAACATTATTATTTCTTATAGAAATGTTTCTTATTTTCATATGCTTATAGTTTTTAAAATTATGATTGTATTTCAAACATTTTGTACTTTTTTGAAACCATAATCCTTTGTAAATAATGTATAAAAGATTCGAATTATTTAATTCAAATTTAAAAGAATTATACCTGTTTGAAAATTGTTTATATTTTAACTCCTCGATACAAAATTAACACCTCTGAGACAACTCTGAAACTAAGAATCTGATTTTTCATCGCCATTTCTTTTTTAATACATGCTCTGCTGTCAGGTGTTGATTATTTACCTGATTATTACCTCCGTTTTTATGTATTTCGAGATTTTGTTGTTCTAATTATAGAGTGAGAATGAGAGATGGCTTTGAGTTGTTTTTCTTGAGAGTTTTTGAGAATTAATTACTGCAAAATAATTAGAGAATTTACATCAATTAGAGTTATACGCCATTTATACTTTATTTATTTTTGAAAAGTTAAAACAAGAGATTGAAGTGACTAATCACGAGTTCTTCTGATGCGATTTTCCAAACAGAACACTTACGATATCAATTTTAGTTTATGCTGTTGAAATTGATTAGAAATATTTAACTGCCAAAAGAGAGTACTTGTAGTGAATATCGATTGTGTGTGTTATCACTGACATTCATCGTCTGCTTGGAAAAAAACATCGCATGACTAAGTATTTAAATCGTTTGAAGTTATTTTGTGATACTTGAATACTCACACGATCTGATGACTGAAGATAAAAATCATTAGGAATAATCAGAGCCATTTTTTTTATTTGTCTGCTTCTGCAAATTAATGATTTGTTTTCCTTTTCTTGTTTTAAAACCTCTCTTATTACAAATATTTAAAATATGTTTAATATTTAATTTTTGCCACGGAAAATATGTGATCAGTTTTCTGTTTCTCAACAGAAATGTAATAGTTGAAATCCAACAGAAAAAGCGATATCAGCATCTGTTAAGTTTATATATTATTCTCATATTCTTTAATTCATTATGTTGCAATGGACGCAATTAATTTAAAAAGATAGAACAATGTACGTAAATTTGTGTTTAAATACATTTATAAATATATATAATTTATTTTTAAATAAATAATAAGCTCACTCTTTTTTTTTTTAAAAAAAATTAACATCAAACCTTGAAAAATAATATACTTAAATTTCATTAGAAAATAAATTTAGTTTTAATCGATTGAGATTTCTAGAATTGACATTAGTTTAGAGTCGTAAGAGGGCTATTGACATCGGAACTCGTAAAACGTTTATTAAACATTAATTTTGACATTATTCCAAAAACTTAAGAAATTAAATTTTTGTAAGATACATTCAGTGTAAGATTATATTTCTTAATGTTCATAATATTGGGGTTTTAAATAAATTATAAATTAATAATTTTGCCTAATTGTTGAAATTTAAATCAATATTGTTAGCAAAAGAAAGAAAAAGTATATATGTAAGAAAATTTATGTTATAAAATAAACATATTAACCATAATTGATAGAAATTTTAAAAAAATATGCTTACTTCTATTAAATGATGTATAACAAAAAAAAATCATGCTTAATGGTTATATTGATCACAAAAACTCCGAACACGAACAAAAATATTCCTTAAATAATTTTCTAAACTAAACATGATCAATAGTTTCAACTTGTTGGCATAGCATTTATATTTGACAAATCAAAACAAAGCATACATCAATAGTAATATAATTTTTCAGAAATCATTACCATCTTTTTCAGTACAATGGGTATCATCAGTTATAAAAAATAAAAATAAAACAAGAATCATTTTCTTAAAATAATCCAGTATCCAGCACTGTAGTGGAAATAAAAAACCGAGAGAAAAAAAAAGATCATAATAATACTCACCCATATTAGAAGGAACTTATTACAATAACTCCTCTATCTTAGCGTTGAAGCACTTATGCAGTTGTCAAACAACTAAAGTATAATACATCTGCTCTGCTTGATATAAATACTATTGGAGGAAAATATTGCACAACGTTGCGTGAAAGTTCATCTTTTCAGCTTAGGGTTACTGTTACGACGTAACGTTGTGCAATTCTTTTCTACCACGGGTATCTGAAAATTCACTTTATCGCTCTTTTGGCGTAATCGGCGAAATTTGTAATTAAATTTAGCATGCTAGTTTTACTGTGAATGTCACAGTTTAACCACTGGCGTAGTTAGTTCTGAGAGGGTCCTGTATGGAAGTTCCTTGGGGGCCCCTTCTAGAAAATCTTTAACATTTTCCGATTTTTTGCTTAAACGTTTTGGGGCACCCAAGGTGTTTGGGGCCCCGTATCATTGATACGGCGGTAACTGCGCCCTTGAGTTTTAACATAAATTAAGGAAATATTTAATAAGTGAGATAAGTGTCTTTACAAATTTATTTACATAATAAATGTCTTTATAGTAAAATGGAAATCAATATAACATGCTAAAATTACTTTTTGTGGTAGATTGGATGTTTATATCGCTTTGTGTGTTGTAATTTTACTTGAAAAATTAATTATTGTAATTTTGGAATAAATGTTTTTAAACTAAAAAAATCATTATATATATATTCTTATTTGAATTTAATTATCATTCATAAAATTTCTATG